AATTAGGTACATGAAGTAATCTGAGTGAGGCCAGGGTGAAGAACAGTGGTGTGACATCCTGGTCACACCAGAACCAAGGCCCTCATTCTTCCTGTTGCCAGGAGTGAGAATGGATGATGAGAATTACTTTTGATGGCACTGAGCCGCCCCACCTACAGTATGTCCCACATCCACTGTTTGATCACAGCAAGGGTGCAAAAGGCCCAGGCCCCGTACTCAATTCCAGGACAACTCTGAGGGCCATCCCAGCTCTGTCACAACTACCTTGCCATTCAATCGTCCAGCCCAACTTGACTGCCTTCAGTTTCCTACATGTGTTTTTACTGAAGATGTTCTCGCATGAAGTGACACACAAATCTCCAGCTCAGAGTGTTTCCTGGGGAAGCCTATCTAAACAACTGCTGTTGGAAAGATTGGGATTTTAACAAGTGAACAGTCAGATATGCCCATGGATTTCTCAGTAGAACATTGCTCGACTTCATCTATCTGAGGTCAGGTTCCCTGAGTAGAACCTGAGGTGAGGATTCTCATATAAGTGACTTATTAAGGGAATGTTCTCTGAGAGGCACAGGTCAGACAATGAGAGAAGCTGATTAGGGAGGGAGAAAAAGTTAGACACACAGATGTGGGTTGAGATGTGGGCAATGCCCCAGAGAAACATACAAACTCTTACCAGGCATTTAGTAGCCAGTTCCTATGCCAGCCCTGTAAGGGGCAGGGGGACCTCAGTCCATCCTAGTATAGACATGAATCTTTTTTTTTAATTATGTTATGTTAATCACCATACATTACATCATTAGTTTTTGATGTAGTGTTCCATGATTCATTGTTTGCGTATAATACCCAGTGCTCCATGCAGAACATGCCCTCCTTAATACCCATCACCAGGCTAACCCATCCCCCCACCCCCCTCCCCTCTAGAACCCTCAGTTTGTTTTTCAGAACCCATAGTCTCTTAGACATGACTCTTAAGTTTAACATTATTTAAAAAGGAAGCCAGAGTTCAGAATATTCTTAAAGTTGCACATGGAAGCTGCATTTAACCGAACAGAATAAAAGAGTCTTCATCTATGTCATTAGTCTTTGGAGTTCTATAACCGAACTGAAAATTTCAGGCAAAGCAGCTCTATAACCCCTTCCTCTCAAAACCTCAGTTTGCCTAGTCCCTAAAAATAGCATTTAACTAAATGCTAACTCTGAGAAATAACCATACAAAATTAAGGACAAATTTTAAGAAAAAATAGTTACTTAAATATATCAACCAAGAGGAGATTCTTTTTAGTTTCAAGTCTCCATATGAAAGATTTAGGGCAAAAAGGAATTCTTGAGGTAGACCTAATTAAGGTTCTTATCAAATGTGGTGTATATGCAATTTTCCAATTCCTTTGACAGTTCATTAAGAAGTTTCAGAGAACTTCAAGGTCATGATTCACTTTTATCTTTGTAGACACCTTTCTTCAGGATTGAAATGTGAGGATTTAAAGTGATATTCAAATGTGGGCCAGTACAGGGACAGCAGACTTCTATATTTTACCAAGATTAACATTTTGGAATGTTTTATATATAATTTTCATTAAGATCTAAAATGTTTTATGAAAGGACAATGTTCATAGGAAACCCAGTTGAGTTTTTTTCCTTCAGAACTACTAAAGGCACCAAGGATTTCCAGTAAATTAATGAGAGTATCAGGGAGGGTTTTCTATTTGTGTTCTGGAAGGTGCATTTCCTCCTCAGCGGCCCTGAGTGAATGAGAATATTCCCTACTGGAATAACAGCTTCAGTCTGGTATCTTCTATAGAGGGCTCATGGTGCCTTGCTGGGGGTCCAGGAGAAGCAGTTAGAAATCCTGATACTCACCATTCTGAGGTTCCTCTCTGACCTCCCTGTCAGTGGGGGTGAGAGTATGAGATTGTGTATTTCCTCATTATTGGTGGTGATGATGAGGAGGCATGGGGGTGGGAGGATGAGGAGAGCTACTGTTTACCAAGAAGTCAGACACCTACATGTTTTGTATGAGCTGAATTTGATACTCATTATAACATCAGGAGGTAGAAACAGATTATTCCTAGTTTTACAAATGAGGAAACTGAGGCTGAGGGTAGTTAAGCAATTCACACAAACAAGGTCATACAACTGGAAAGTGGCACTCTGACTCCACAGCCTGCACCTGTAGTCACTGCCTCGCCATTGATACTACACTTTTCCGGGACCTTTCACAAGTGAAACCAATTGGGAATGTGCAAAAGAGAGCTGAAATGGTCACAAAGGTGAGGCTAGGTTTCAAGACACCCATCTCTACAGCAATGGCTTCTTCCTGCTGGCTTCTCCCTTCATTCCTCAGTCCTCAGCAGAAGCTGTCTCTGGACTTTCCATAACTCCTCCCTCTCCCTCCCCCACGCCCCCAATCCATTCTCCATGGCAACCAGAGTAAGTGTCCCAAAGAATAAATCTGTCCCCACTGCTATTCTGTTGTAAATGCTCAAAAGCACCCCACGGCTTTAGGAGGAAGCACACATCCTTTGGGCATAAGCAAACTCTCCTGCCATCCCCAGCTCCTTTTTCATCAGTGGTGTGCTGCACACTGGTCATACCCACGTCAAGCAGACTTCGATATTTTGAGGGATTTTGAGAGAAGTCTTGAGACTTTTGTAAATCCACTAATTACTAAATACTCCTATATCAATTTTCCCAAAGATTTTGCTAGGGCATAATCAGATATAAAATTGAAAATGAAGTTGCAGTCTGAAATGGCAAGTCCAGTGGATGAGGAAAACCACAACACTCATGGGGACAGCATGGAAATATCTGGCCTCTTTGTAGGTCCAGAGAAGCACAAAGCTAGGCGGATGCTGTTTGTGGGGGATGTGGGAGAAAGGGGAGGGAAGGACAGAGGGGTAGAGGCAGGTTCTGAAGAATGGGCAAGTAGCAAAATCATCTTTGGGATTGTAGTGTTTTCCCTCCTATGAGGAAACCATACCAATGGTGGGCTTAGCCCTTAGCCGGGCTGGGCTCATTTGAAAAGAAGCAAGGGTCTGTGAGAAGCCAAGCAGAAGAGGGAGCAAAGGGAGAACCACAGGTCCTACACAATATGCAAAATTAAACTAAATGGACACCTGTTCATAATTTACAATTACTACTTGATTTTCATAGTCAACAGCAGTGCAATAACTAGAAAGTGTGTATTTTAAAGGACAATATGGAGCCATTTTATTTTCAGCATTTTAATTGTGTAGGGGAGGAAACATTTTTCCTTCCACCCTTTAAGGTCTTCCAGGTGGTTTAAGAATTAAATTGACATGAGACAGATTAACAGAGAAAACAAAACAAAGCCCAAGGTTTACTACATGCACACGGAGGCCCAATAATGAGGTGAAGACCTAAAGAAACATCCCAGGGCGCCTGGGTAGCTCAGTCAGTTAAGTTGTCTGCCTTTGGCTCAAGTCATGATCCCAGGGTCCTGGGATAGAGCCCCGCTTCTGGCTCCCTGCTCAGCGGAGAGCCTGCTTCTCCCTCTGCCGCTCCCCCTGCTTGTGCTCTCTCTCTGTCAAATGAATAAATAAAATCTTTAAGAAAAATAAAGAAACAACCCAGGCAGGCAGTTTTTATACTTTTTAGAGAAAGGGACCATAAGTCTGTGAGGAATTGACAGGACAAAGAAAACTTAACTTTGGGAGCTTCCATTAGTAAGGAATTCTAAACAGAATTTGGGCTGGGGGAGTAAATTAGTAAAACGTAACAAGGGTTGTTTATATAGACTTCTTGGCTCTCAATTCCCCCCCTCTGGTGATAAGGAGGTCTCCTTATCTCCTGCTACAAGGAGGGCACCTTTCACACAGGAGACTGATTTCTTGCTTTCAGGAGACAAACGCAGGGGAGTGGGGGGTCAGATTGTTTTTTCACTGGCTGTTTCTTAAGTGACTCTTACATTTTGGGGTGGCCTGCCCTTGGCACGTTCAACCGCAAGCTTAGCCATCCTCTTCTGGAAACTTGGATTTGTCAGTCCTTGGAATTTGGCATTTAAATATGCTGAAATACTATTTTTCATTTGGCTTTGAAAGAAAACCTTAAATTCTAGAACCTATAAAACTAACACCAACTTGAACCATTAGTCTTGAAACTCTGAGTGTGCCTCTTTGGACTTATTTCTACAAAATGTTTCCAAGAAACTAAGTAACAGCTAAACAGTACATTTTGTACTAGTGAGTTACTCCATCCTGCTGGCGAATCTTCCAGCCAGTTGAGTTTTATTTTCCCTTATTATCTTTTTCTGAGCCTCCCTTTAAACTTGTTTTCCCATTGCTCCATATTAGGAAATACAAGGAAAGCGCTGACAACTTTAGTAGGCCTAAGTGTTGGCGCATGTTTACCTTGTACTCTATATTGACTTTTTGATACAGATTTTGAGCAACACTTTGTTTTCCAGATTTTAGGAGAGAACTATTCTTTCCTTTTTTTACTTCAAAAATAGTTGGGAAGCCAAAGTTGGTACTTTGCTCTTTTTTTGCTTATTCCCAATTTATCAAACGACTGGGACTCTTGCTCTCATTAATTTCAATCTATTTTTTAATGTCTGTAACAGAGCTATGGACAAAATGTAAAGCAAATGTAGTTCAACCACAAAAGTTTAAGAGTAGTATTAGAAACAGGTAATCTTAAAGATTATATTTTATCTAGATTAACTATCGTGTACAATGTAATGCCTGATAACAGAGAAATGCTATCATGGAATTCTACAAATTAAAAACACTAGAAATACAAATTGTGTGAAAAATACATAGCATGTTAGTAGTCAGAGTAAAAGACTGGAAATAAGTTATACTAAATTTTATTGATACTTATATATAATCATTTTGAGAGAAATGTATTCAACATTTTAAACGGAATTTATTAACTATTACGTCACCTACGAAGAGAACAAAAACCAAGAAATCTTGTACCTGTTTGGTTTTTAAGCTGTACATTGTAATGATCTAAAATCCAAGTTAAAACTGATGACTTACCTTAGATGTGTTAAAAAGCCCCCTGGGAAGTAGCTACAACCAGCTCCAGCCCTATCAGACACACAGTGTTTCAAACTTTCCCCTTACTTGAAGAATGAGTGAAGGATTTGGGGCTTCAGGCTTCAGGGACTATGCAAAAGGCTCTCACGCGTTTGGCCTTGTCTCATGTTTCATCCCCTCGTATTAGCAACAGGCGTATCTAATTTTACTCAGTGACATAAACAGCTCATACCACACTTAAAATTGTTTGGGCACCAATTCCAGGACACAGCTCTAAGTGGGCCAAAAAAAAAAAAAAATTCTTACAAAACCAACATTTAAATCCTGAATCATGATAGTCTTATGTAATTATAACTTTCTAAAATTAACTTTACCTTAAGTGAATAGCAAAAACCAGACTAGTTTCCAGTAGAATTTAATGCTGACATAATCTCTTGGCAATCATTTCAAATTAACATGCAACATTTAGAAGTTATGACTTTATTAGTATTAAATGTATACTATTCTCATTCACGTGAAATGCACGTTATCATATAATAGTCACTTCTTAAAAATCACTTATTTTAAGCCTCTTTTTAAGTGAAAAACTTTAATATTTGAGAAGAAAACCTTAGGGAATGATCATCCTAATAAAGAGAAGGTAAATAAATTCTGCCCGTTAAAATTACGACAGTTCTTTTCCAGTAAACTAAATTTATATTATGTTTAACAAAGGATGTGAATGTAACAATCCAGGCTTGATGTTTATCTTTATTCATTTTCATAAGATGTAAAGTAAAGAAATATCAAGCTTTTTAAATAATCTTTTATTTTGCCTTATTTTTATATATAGCCTGGTAAGCAGCATGAATTAACACAGATTAAATTATATATTTGAAATTTGTATTTTAGCACTAAACCTTGAATAGGAGAAGCAGTGCAATGATAATCCACATGCTTAATATTTATTTTCTTTTCTTCTCAGGAGACCTTTTCTCTTACTCTACTTATTCATAACTCTAACTTCTTTTGACATTTGATGCTTCTCATACCAACAGCTGCAGGCCTTAAATTAAAAGCTGATATAGCTTCAACTAATCACACATTTATTTATAAGACTTTAAAAAATCTTTCATGAACTCTCTGCACATTACAATTTTCTCTGACGCAGCAATTTAGACATAAAATTACAGCACAACACAACTATCTCATATATATATACATATATATATACATATAAAATGCTTAACAATGATGATATGAGATGTATGTTTGTATCAGTTTGTGTCTGAAAAGTCAAACTCTGAAACTCCTAACTCAATATTCTGGTTGAAATGTCACACATTTAAAGGCTACATATTGAAGGACCTTTTCATCAATCAGTAAATTGGTTTTATAACAATAAACTTTTCAATGTTTTGTGGACTGCTTTGTAAAAATGTTACTCAAGTTATGGATTTGATCTCCATTCACATCTACAGATTCATTTAATACTACCAACTTTTCAGTCCTTCAGGAGGAGGGCTTAGAGAAAAACATCATTTTATAGAATAGTTGAAATTATTAAAACAAGATCTTCAAAGTTTTTAATGTAAGGTTAGCTTCAGCTTGTAACTCACATATACACATCTCAGTGTATATGTTTTCAGTGGAATCATAACATTTTAAAGCTATAAGAGGCCTTAAAGGAAACAACCTAGTCAAACAGTCCACTGGATGTAAAATAGCTCGCTCAAGGTTACAGAGCTGGTTTGGGCGTGGCAAACAAACAGAAGCAGTTCTCATTTCCTACAGAGAACAAACTGGTGGTCACCAGAGGGGGGATGGGTGAAATAGGTACAGGGGATTAAGAAGTACAAGCTTCCAGTCATAAATAAGTCATGGAGATGAAAAGTACAGCGTAGGGAATATAATCAGTACTATCGTAATAATGTATAGCGACAGATGGTGACCATACTTCTCTCGGTGAACACTGTGTAATATATACAACTGTTGAATCACTATGTTGTACACCTAAAACTAATGTAACATTGTGTGTCAACCGTACTTCAATTCAAAAAAGAAAGAAGAAAGTCCTTAGGCTCTTATGTCTTACATAACTATAGGATCCTTCTGGGATTCACCCTTATCCTTCCCCCTATAGTCAGTTAGCAATCCTGCCCTCCTACCTCACTTCTGCCTGGGGCAGACAGTCCTGCTGCCTAAGACACTGGGTTAGAGAGACCACTTTTAGATCTAGTGAAAACAAGGAATTTCTTGTAGAGATATGGTTCGTTTTGAAATGGGAGGTAAGTTTGCCTGAGGAGGGAGGATATAGGGGATGATGGGGGATGAGACAGTTCAAAGTTTGAAAAGAAGAGAGAAGTTGTGAAGAGCTGGGCAGTAAATTTACTAGTGAATATACTAGACAGTGTTTGGACCCAGCTGAAGTTGATCAATATACAGCGTTCCTATTTTTAATAGTTCCTGTGACTTTGGATACTAACTGTGGATGTGAGCTCCTATGACTAAATCCCCCCACACCACCTCACTTTCCTCCCAGACTAAATTCATCATCTCCCAAACCTTCTCTTTTGTTCATCCTTCCTTTCTCAGTTTTGTTCATCCTTCCTTTCTCAGTTTCTGACGCCATCCTCCACAAAGTTACCGCTGACTGATTTGGGAACCTCCCTCACTAACCAGCCGGCCAGTCACTAAGCCGCAGTATCTCCTCCCTCTGCCTGCTCCCTTCTCTCTGGGGGGTCCCTGTCTGACTGGGGGGCTCACCAGCAGGTGTCTCCTCGTGCTCAGTACCTGTTGGCCTGCTTCCGGGGCAGGACTGTCTGCCACATTCCATTTTAGACTCCTGGGATTGCCAGAGAAACGCCGAGAACAGCTCATTCTCTCCTCATCACTCCCCAGCCTCAAGACCTTCAGTGAGCCTTCAGGATGGGGACCACGTTCTTGACAGGGCACACACACCTTTATGACTGGGCCGTGTCTGTCTCCCCTGTCCCCATCCTTTAGGTTCGGTAAGAAACTACATGCCATTGGGTGTCTGGCTAAATATGACTAGAGTTACCTCCCATCCTTTTCTTTCTAATGACTATTTAACTTTTTAAAGTCTGTTCATATGTCATTATCAGCTTTCTATATGTATTTATAAACTTATAGTTATTTGTATTTACATTGCCATCATTGCTTTATATACATATTCTCTCTATTAAACTATCAACTCCTTGCTCAGCACCTGAGCCCTCAATTAACTGAACCCTGAATAGTTACACCAAACTCAATGTTTTTTATGATATCAATTCCATAGCACACCGTAACAAAAAAAAAAAAGAAAAGAAAAGAAAAGAAAAAAGAAAAAGAGCTAATACACGATCAGGATGACATTATAAGACTTTTCCAGAAGAGGTCAGTGTAACAGTAATAAAAGTATTCGCTTTCAGGGCAAATGAAATGTGAAATCAAATTAAAATATTTTGTGAGAGATAAACTTTCAAGCCTTAAAAAATAACCATGTCAATGATCTGCCCCTCCAATCAAAGCTACAACTTCCTCAAGAGAGATGGCCATAGACCTTTCACATAAGCAAAATGCAGTGATTCTCTACACAAATGAAAACACAACAGGTTTAAATCTGGAATGTAATTAATGTAATCACCTGGATGCTTCTCACCCAAATTCTCTGATTATTCTTAAATAGAGATCATCCAAGTGTATACATTTTAGAAAGATAATTCCTATTCCCTTTGGAGTTGCCGTACAGATAAAAAAATTAAATTGATCACTAGATTACTGAATGTAGGCATTTTGTGTCTTCTTGTGGTACTCTGGGGGAAGTTTTGGAGTCACTATTTAGTGTGAAGGGCTAATTCAGTGTTGTCAGAGATGATGGGAAAGAAAACAGTGGGATGCTGGAAAAAGAAGACTTGAAAAAAAGAAAACTCTTATATTTCAGAAGAGAAAATGGAGTACCTGAAATTTCAAAGGTTATTCATTGGTAATCACTGCATTTGGTCATCATAATTTTGTTTAAGATTCATTTATTTATCTTAGAGAGGGCGAGGGGGGAGGGGAGGGGCACAGGGAGGGAGAAAGAGTCCCAAGCAGACCCTTCACTCAGTGTGGAGCCCAATGCGGGGATCAATTCGGGGCTTGATCCCACCACCCTGAGATCACAACCTGAGCTGAAATCAAGGGTCGGAAGCTCAACTGACTGAGCCACCCAGGCGCCCCACTGCCTGCCACTCTTATCTCTAGCCCTCTGTAGTTTCCCTGTACTTTTTGTACATGCTCAAAGTGGTCATATTTACCTTCCACTTTGAAACTATAATCTCCTGTATCTCTTGTGATTTGATCAGGTTGATTAGAAAAAAATAGTGCAATACACAGCGTTCACATTTTACAACTAGCTACCCAAATATCTAACCATATTCCCTTTCCGAGATAAACACCTGTGCTCAATGCTTCTTCTATTATCAGTTTGAATGGAATCTTTTTTTTTAAATATTCCTCCAAATATTTTAATTGCTTCATACTGACATTGTGCCTTTCCCAGAGAGCTATTGTTGTTGGAGTTTCTGAATACCACTTTTGTTATTGTTGTAAAATAAGAAATTTTCCTAAATTTGCCTTCTTCAGCTTATCCTAGTTGTCTCTCAGTTTTTATTCCTTTAATCTATTATTTGGAATTAATATCACTTTTCTTCTTGAAACACACTGTTCCTTTCTAATTTAAGTAGTTTATATCATGGTTTTCTTGTAGGACTCACCTCCAGCTCCTTTACTTTCTAATGGTCTTTCTGTTCCTTGCATTCTCTACCTCTACCACACCGTCAAACTTCTGTTAAATTTCTGATAATAATATCTACTATATAGAATCACGTTTTTCTTCAGCATCCTGTACTCCAGGCTCCCCTCCTCCTGGGCCAGTCCGTCTTGCAGAGCCAGCTTCCCACACATCTGCGGTCTTCCTTAGATCTCATTGCTCTCCTGAGCTGGCTGAATCTTCCCCGACTCAGCTCTCACGTCCTCTCCTCATATACCCCCTTGCTTTGATGGACTGCACCCTCAAATAATCATTCAGAAATGGTGTTTGGGAAGTAGATTGTCTGAGTTCTTTTATGTCTGAAAATGTATCTATTCTGCTCCAAAACTGGTTAATAGTTTCATTTA